TCCTACCTCCAGCATAGACATGACCAGCTGAAGCCTTCTCTCCCCCACTCCAGGGCTGTCTCCCTGGCAGGCTGAGCTGATTCTCTGCTGTACTCCTTACATCTCCAGCGGTTAGCCTCTCATAGCTCTGTCTACCCGGCAGGCTTCTCCAAAGTCCTGCTGTCCTTCTTGCGACCACCACTCCTCATGAAGTAGAAGCAGCAAGCGGCTGCCTTCTCTACCCACTCTGGTGCGCTGTTTCCCTCATTGCCCCCTTCGATCTCATGCTGTGGATCCTTAGCTTCAGAGAGGAGAATGGCTGGCAGCCTCTTTTCATTCCTCATGCTCTCTCTGGTGGTGTTCTCGTATTTATTTCCCTGCTGCTCCTTTCCTAGCTCCAAAACACCGTCTCACCTAACCGCTGTTGTCCAGGAGAATCAGGTTAACCTAGAAGGCTGACGCCAACAGCTTTGTTTGGCATTCAAAAGTAAAAAAAAAAAAAAAGAGAGTTGCTCCACAAAACCCATGTCCTTGTTTCTGTGAAATCTTTTCTGGCCTTTCCCCAGCAAGTTAACATCGGAAATTTCTCTTTTTTGAAGGCTAGAAACCCCCTACCCATCGTTCTGTCCGCTACTCCTATGTGCAAAAAGGAATTTGGACACCACTACCCTCATGGGCATGCTCATAATTTACAGTCAAAGCTAAAATGTAGGGCTGGGGGGTGTATTGGGATTGGACCCTTACCTTCGCTGTTAACATAACTAACTTGTGCCTGATCAGACTGATGTTGATGCATTCATACTGTATGAAAGCTATGCCGTCCAACTCTATCATTGTTTCCTTGGGCAAGGCAATTCTACTGCCTTGCCTGCTGTTGGTGGTCTGTGGCACCGATGTATAGCAGCCTCCCCTGTTTGCCTGCAACAGGGCATGCTGTAGCTTCAATTCTTGTCAGTAAGTGTAGTGCTTTGGGGTCATTAACAAGGCAAGGTTCTCCCCTGACACTTTCATCTCGCAAGGCAACAAAGGTCCCTAGATTCTCATACAATGGATTTTGATTTTTTCAGTCATTTTTAGATAAGACTAGCAGCCTTTTGTTTTACATTCTATTTTAATGTTTCAGTAAACAAACACACCCAGCAGAACACGACAAGATATTCTTGAAGGACCGCACAATCTGAATGTAAATAATAACAAAAATCTCATATCATACTTCCTGTTTGGATGTTATTCTCCATTATCTGGAATCCATTTCTACGAATAGCTCCCTCCTGACCATTTAAATATAACATACACTCAGATATTGAGTGCATGTTAGTATCAAAACCTCTTAAAGAAGGTATAAATAGTTTTTCTTACCTTTATTGTCAGCTTATAAGTAGGCAGTTTTTTTCAGAGTTAAACAGTTTCTTCCTCTGCCTGCAAGCCTGGGTGAAGATGATGCTGAGCACAGGGCTACTGGTACTGCTCGGACTCGCAGGGTCTTTGTGGGCTCAGCATGTTCCGCCTACGGTGGTCATCAATCTTGACCTGAGTCCAGAGCAGCGATGGAAACCTTTGCAGGATGTGTTTGATATAAATTCTCTGAAAAAAGCCGCAGGTATCCTTATGAGGTACGTATTTTATAAATGCTTAAAATGTTTGTTTCAGTCTGAAGATGGTCCTTTGGAAATAAAAGTAGGTTTAAGATAACATAAACACTACTGAATAAATACAGGCAACATCTAAGCTCCTAAAAGTTTTCAGCATGCCTAAATTCACTAAATAGATTCTAAAAGCATATCTGAAGAGCAGAACGGTTAAGATGGAGATTTCTGTATTTCTTTTATATGCCACTTTTTTTGTGCCATCATGTTTATTTGTTAAACTCTTCATAGCTTTTTAAACAGCGTGATGAGCGTTGAACTATTCTGAAAACGGAGCAGATTGTATTACTTTCTTATTAGATACATGATACTTTTACATTTTGTTATATTAGCCGAACATCTTTGAATGCTTTAAAGAATCTGGTGTGATTTATTTTGCCTTTTTCAAAATCATACTTTGAGCCAAATTTAGCCATAGTAAAATACCACAAACTTGTAGAAATTCTTGATAGCTCATATGCATTGGAAATGTGACCTTGGCTATAGTATGTAATGCATAATAGGAGATATCAGAACCCAAGAAAGTTTGAAAGGCATGTTAGATTTCACTTTCATATTCAGTTTTTCTATGTGTTTTTGTTAGGTTTCTGTTTCTGTTATGTTTTTCTTTTGCTCCTTGATTTCTAGTGTTTAGTTTTCTTTTCACCATGTTTCTTTATTTTAGTTATTTGCTTATTATTTTGTTGATGTTGTCTTATTAGTTCCTGTCTTCCAGCTTTTCATTTTTTATCCTCTGCTGCCCTCTTATGTCCTCTTACTCTTGCTCTGTTTTCTGTTCAGCTCTCACCTGTGTTCTATTCCCTCATTAGCCTCTCCCTGTCTCTGTCCCCTTTAAAAGCCCTCCCTCTTCAGTTCTTGTTTGCTGGATCCTCGTCTTACTTCTCTTCAACCTCCGAACAATCGTCTGTCTGCCTGCCTCATCTCTTCCTGGTTATTTGATTTTTGGTTTTCCCCTGATGTCTCCAAGAATCTGATTCTTGAGCTTTTGTTGGATTTTTTGACTCCTGCCCCGGCGCCTGTGAACCCCAGCCTCTGTGCCTGTGAACTTTAATTAAAGTTCACAGGCTGCAGCTAGATTCAGAAACCTAACATTTATATCTTAATTTTCTTTATTTTGAAACCAATACATTTTTTACACTAAACAACAGGATCATAGTACCAATTTATACTTTCTTGGTATTTTAATTTTTTTTCTATTGTAGACCACAGACATGAGATATTTGGGGTGTTTTTGGATATTATCATTTAGGCTATAATACAAATACCAAATAGCCACATAGATTTCCCCACCAAATCTTACAATTCTACATTAAATTGTTGGTGTACTTTTTATCGTCTTCCTCAGTTTTATATAACTGCTTGTATTAGTAGGTTGTATTGTGACTGGAAAAACTTGTGGTGGACCATTTTTCCTTCATTTTAACCAAATTATTATTAATAAAAAAAAATAAAATAAATATATATATATATATATATATATATATATATATATATATATATTTATAATATTACTGTATATTTATGTTTGTGAACTCTACATGTTTGGAACACAAGTCATACTAAGTAGAGTGCCATTTGTAAATTAGCAAATTATTTTAAATGATCTGAAATTAAATAAAAAAAATTAAAAATTAAAAATTAAATAAATCTGAAGTTAAATAGGGTTTTAAAAATATTAGGATCATGTAGGTTATAAGAAAGTGATATTCTAAACTAATTTAAGTCCCCTAATTTACATTGAGATGTGAAAAATTTTGACTTAAGATCATAACTTCTTTCCCTCTAATGGATCTTTTTTCCTCAACTTTACTTTGTGTACAAGAATATTATTAGCAGAATTCAACATCAAAACCATTCATCATTGAAATAAAAACAAAAATGAACACCTTTTAAACAGTGGATCAAATTTTTATACATCAATAGCTAGTATATAGTAAACTGAAATCATTTTGTACAGTATTATAGTGGCACTTTTAAAACTTTTAGAGTTGGACCTGTGTGTCTACCACCTTCCCCTCCTTCACCTGGTGTCTCTACTTAGGGACAGATATTTTCAGTCCCAAAATTAGTTGACAAATAAGGGAGATGAATAAAAGAACTACATACAAACCACACAGAAATATTACTCTAATACTTTGTATGGTAATATACGTTACATTTGGAATTGCAATTTGTTTTATTCAAGATTAAATAAATTCCTCATCCATTAGTATGTATTTACTTTTTATAATGAATACTACTAAAACATCGGAATTATCTTCATGTATGCTCATGTTTACATTAACCAGCATTTTATTTGATGGGTTTCTCTTTTGTTTTCTATAGTACACTGATTCCAAAATGGATGCATCAAGCTTTCGGCCCTCTTATCAAATCCCTGGAAAAACATGTTTCCCACCCTTACATTGAGGAAATCCATGGGATAGCCAGATGGACTAAAATAAACCCTGCAGACATCTTGATTCTCAATTATGCATATGAATTTACAGCGTAAGAAAAAGTTCTATTGTACTCATACATTTTTGACAGGATTCAATTGTCCACAGAATTCAGAAATATAAACATATTGTCTGAAAAATGAAATAATTGTCATCTAATGTCTTCTTTCACAGCTACTGCACAAGCATTGTGGCACAGGATAGAAGGGGCTACATATACCATGGGAGAAATTTTGATTATTCATATCCAGTTCTGAGGGATCTAACCATGAATGTAGTCTTCTTTAAGAATGGAAAGGTATGATGTGTGTTTACACTCATTAATCAGCAAAATTGTTTAAAGGAGATTATAATAATTATTAATAATTAATCAATCTACATATTTTGTGTTGTCATAATGTCTATATATGTCTACATTGTCACTCCTTTAAGGATCTGCTATCTCAGTGTTGGTTAAGTATTTCAGAAAGTTTACAAAATCAGTAGAATAAACAAATTAACAATTACTTTACTTTTAGGATTTAACATCTGTAAAAAAAAATTCTACGTTTTCATTGTAAGCTTAGAATACGAAAAGTTATACATTAAACTTGTACATCTTTGGATCGACTCTCACTTTTTTATTATTGGAAAAAGTGCTTGCCTTTGTTTGAATCTTAATTTTTAGCTCTTATTACTGGTAACTGCAAACTACAAATTTCATTATCTAACATTACATATGAAACTTCTCATTTTTTGGGAGGGATTTTCCATATCAATATTATTGGGGAGTTCTTTGGCCAAAGTCTTAAACTTCCGAAGCTCAGTAGGGAAATTGGACGCTATCTTACGGACGAACTGATTCTTTAGACCGAGTTGTAGTTGTTGAACCAATGTTTGGTAAAATAAAAAAAGAAAACTTGGTTAAGAGATTGGCTAACTTTGACTGTTGAGTTACCAATGAGCTAATTAATGTTGTGTTCTTTCCAAATGTTGAAAAATAGACAAAGATAGCAAAAAAACAGCTTTCCATCATGTATCTTTGTAGGCAGCATACTGTGGAACAACATTTGCTGGTTACGTTGGCTTGTGGACGGGCATGAGCCCCTACAAATTCACTGTCTCTGGCAACCAGCGAGGTAATACTATTAACAGTTAGAGCCACGTTGGACTATTTGATTTCTTTTCTTTCTAAGCATGTTTTTCATCCCTAAGAATCTGAGGCCCTGTTGAATATGTTGAAGAACGACATATCTGCTTTGCTGTCCGACGGTTTACCAGCTAGTTGGGTTATGAGGGAGGTGAGTGGATAACCCTGATTTGTGGTAAAGAAAAAAATAATACAATGATGTGATATTAATAATGTTCATTTAAAGACCCTGGAGGAGGCCAGGGACTTTCAGGATGCAGTCTTGCGTCTGTCAAAACCCCCCCTTACCACTGGGGTGTATTACATCGTTGCTGGGGTGCGAGCAGGGGAGGGGGTCGTCATCACCAGAGATCGAAAGGGCCCCGCTGACATCTGGCCCCTGGACCCATCAACCGGAGGGTAAAGAAAAGCTGCTAGGGGTCAGTGGGGGTTGCGCTGATGCACTAACATAAAACACCACCTTGCTGATTTGTTTAGATGGTACAGAGTGCAGACGAACTTTGACCACTGGCTTCCTCCTCTGCCTTCAGACCGAAGAAGGTAAGTTTATCACGTGATGAAGACATATCCATAATGATTTGTATCTATAGATGTCCTGAAGCTGACGTCACAGACATTTGAATCTAGCCGCAGCCATATTGAGTACCTGCTCTGGTCACCTGCGCGTCAAAGATGCCATCTGTATGTTTTGCCATTGGGAGGGACAATAAATAAGGTGACCCAAAGATTTCTTTTTAACGACTGCCAAAACAGAATGAACTTGGCAGAGATGGCTGGCAGCAATCGGAAGGGCCGATTGACTGTAAGTAGCAGTCCATGCAGTTTACATTTGGTATCAGGTAATTTTTCAAAACAAGCCAGGAGAGCTAGCTTAGGCTGTTGCCAACTGGATTTAATGTCTTGGACAGTTTTTTTTCTGCAGAAATTTAATTAATTAGATTACTGATCGGACAATGCCATCTTTTAGGGTCAATAACCCAACCAGCTTTCAAACTTTGATAGGTATCTGTGCTTTTAAAAGCTTTCAGACTTTTTCTGGTGTACAGTATGAGGATAGGTTGTATATAAGTTATATATATCAGTTGTGAAAGGATAAATCTGAAAGCCTGTCAGTTGAAAAAAGGTACATATAAATCGCATACAATTACACAGATTTTCTTTGTGTGCTGTTTAAGCTCACAGGGATTAAATGAGAATGGTCCATAATGGATCATCTATTCTGATCAGAGGGGAAGCTCAACAGAGCTAAGTTAAGTTAAGCTACGTACTCAATATGGCAGCCGTAAGGTAGAATCATAATGACGTCACGCTTCTGAAATGCATATATTGTTACGCTGCTGTTCTATGATCAACAGGGAAGCAGCCATGGTAGCACTGAATAAAATAGGTCAGGCTTCCATCAACATGAAAAAACTTCATCAGGCAAGTACTGACATCCTCATGTAGTATAAGTCATAGTTCATTTTGGGAATTTGTGGTTTGATAACCAAGCCTTGTCCTTCAGGTTTTGGCATTGTCTCCTGTGTGCGACAGGTGAGGATACAGTTTTCTCTTGCACTTTTGCTTCCTTTGTGCTCCAACAAATTACATGGCAGGTTCTCTGCTGAACTATACAGGGTGCTTTATCCTCCTGTTCAGCTTTAACCATAGTACCAATACACTTTAATCAGGCTACATGCTTGCATTTTTAGTGCTATGCAAAGTGTTCAAACCTGGTTATTTTTACACATTTTTTTTTTTCAAATTACAACCACAAATGTCTGTATTTTAGTGGGATTTTTATGTAACCAACAAAGCAATTAATAATAATGGGAGCATAAAAATCTATGTTCTAAATTGATTTTATAAGTAGAAATTTGAAGTGCTGTGACATTTGTAGCTTTATCCTGCACCCTACTGTTTTATACCCAAAAAAGGAAATCCAATTCAACTAAATACTCTCAGATACAATCTAATTGTTTTATGAAGGACTTGGGTTGGTAGAAGACATTTGTAAAAAATAGTCTATCATAATAAAGTCAAGTACCTTAAAGTTCAGGGATAAAGTTGTGCAAAAAAGTGTTGTGAATTGGTGCTATATAAATAAACTGAATTGAATTGAAATTGAATCCTAAAGAAAGAAACCTAGATGTTTGTGGTTTTAATATGAAATACCAAATAAATATTAAAGGTGCATGAATATCTGGCCCATTTTTAAGGAAACAAACATATCTTGACATTTCTTTTCAGCTTGTCAGATGCGTTAAACTATCATTAACCATTTGTCCTTTTACCCTCCAGAAAAACGATCTATACAACACTAATGAGTGCAGCATACCCCAGAGAATACACCACACTTATCATAGATAAGGTAATCCAAATACATTTAAAATATCCTCAGGAAATGATCATAAACACTCCAAACAAAACGATCCCCTAACTCACTCTGTCTCCTGTTTCTTTCCTTTTTAAGGGCTGTCATCGACCATCAACCTAACTGACAACCAGGGAGCAAAGAATATCTGAAGACTGCCTTTGCTGATTCTTTAATACAACTAATTGTGGAATTGTATTATTAGTTAATGAGATTCCAACAGAATGGAGCCCTACAAAAACATTTATCACAATTATCTTTCTTTGTGATATATGATGGTTAAAACTTGGATAAGAATGACACATGAAAAATAATAAATACATTTTACATCATCTTCTGTTCTTGTGTTTTATGCCCTATTTGCCACTCCTCGAAATGAGATACCCGTTTTGGTTCTTTGTACATTAAAGAAAGTTTATAATCACTTTAACTGGGCCTTAAATTACCTGCGAGTTTCTGCATTTTTTTTTAGATTCCAAGAAGTAGAGCATTACATTATTTTATTGTTGTTTATGAGTGACTGGCAGTAGGACTCCGCAGGGTTATTGAACGTCCAGATGTGGACACATGTTACCACTCACCAATTAACATAACTATTAACCTCAGTTAATAGTTAACTACATATTAACACAAGTCTAACAGTGTCTTTTATTACTTACTATCAGAGGTGTCAAGTAAGAAAGTACAAATACTTTGTTACCTTCCTTAAGTAGAAATTTTCGCTATCTATACTTTACTGGAGTAATTATTTTTTAGATACATTTTTACTTCTACTCCCTACATTTTATTTTGCAATTATCTCTACTTTCTAGTCCTTACATTTTAAAAATAGAGTCATTAGTTTTGTTTCATTTAAGCTCATTTTCGTTATGCCCTGTTAAAAAAAAAGAAAAACCATCAAAATAATTTGTTTCATCCAGACAATTTATTTGTGGTTGGACTTAAAAACTAATATTTAGTTTTTCAAGATGATGCTGAGTTTTATTGGACACTGTTAACATTAGTTATAAAACTAAGAACATTTAATATAAGGAAGTTATCAAGAATTGTAGAAAAATGTTCCTTTAATAGGGCAGTGCAGTTTATTATATTTATTTGCAACAATCTTTGTCTTCAACTTTCTTCCTGATGTATATTTCATATAAATTACATAAAATCAGTGGATGGAATTAGAAAATAATTATTGTATATATATATATATATATATTTTTAGTGTTATGTTTTGTAGTGAAGGGTAAAACAAGTTGTGTGTTTTTTGACCGCCACCTGGAATGATAGTGTAGAGCAGTTTGTTTTATCACGCTGATTACTTAAAATCTATTTTATCAAATAAAACAAAATGTACGGAAAAGGATTAGGGCCACTGAAAAATGAAAAAAAAGTTAAATGATTTTTACATTTTATTTCAGTATAATATTTTGACATTCACCTCAGAAGTCTGACTAGAATTCTGCCTTTCAGAATTCTAACTAGAATTCTGGAGTCTCAGAATTCCAACTAGAATTCTGACTTGACTCTCAGAATTCTGACTTTCAGAATTCTAACTCTCAGAATTATGACTTTCAGAATTATAACTGGAATTCCGCCTTGACTCTCAGAATTCTAACTAGAATTCCGCCTTGACTCTCAGAATCCAAACTAGAATTCCAACTTGACTCTCACAATCCTAACTAGAATTCCACCTTGACTCTCAGAATTCTAACTACAATTCTGCCTCGGCTCACGGAATTCTGCCTGAGCTCTCGGAATTCTGCCTCTGCTCTCGGTATTCTAACTAGAATTCTAATTTTACTCTAGGAATTCTAACTAGAATTCTGCCTTGACTCTCAGAAATCCAACTAGAATTCTGCCTTGACTCTCAGAAATCCAACTAGAAATCTGCCCTGACTCTCAGAAATCCAACTAGAAATCTGCCCTGACTCTCAGAAATCCAACTAGAAATCTGAATTTAATCTCAGAATTCTAACTAGAATTCTGACTTGACTCCCAGAGTTCTGACTTGACTTTCAGAGTTCTAACTAGAACTCTGAATTTAACCTAAGATTTCTGACCTTTTTCTTAGAATTCTGACTTTGATCTCAGAATACTGACTCTAACCTCAGAATTCTGACTTTTTTCCTAGGAATTCTGACTTCAACCTCAAAATTCTGACTTTTTTCCTAAGAATTCTGACTTTATTCCAAAAAAGTCTGACTTTAACCTCAGAATACTAACTTTAATCTCTGAATTCTGACTGAATTCTTACAGCTAACAAACATGTTAGCATCAAGGCGTAGCCATGTCTGTTTTAAAGACTAAACTAGCTATCTTGTTTTAATCACCCTTTGCCCTTCCATTAATTAAATAGCATCTTTGTGTTAAATAGCATCACGTAAAAAGTTACCTAATTGCATCATTTTCCACCAATGTGTTACTGGCCCACTCACAAACAACTCACATCTTTGTCAGTGAAGCTGGTGCCCATCTACATTAAGATCCAAAATTCTAAGTCAGAATTCTGAGAAAAAAGTCAGAATTCTGACTTTTTTTTCTCATATTAAAATTGAAATACAATGTAAAACTCAGCTAACTTTTTTTTTAGTGCCCCTAATCCTCTTCATTAATCCTGAGATTTCAGTCGAAAGGGGAATCTGTAGAGGCTAAGGAAACCTTTACAGGTCTTTTGAGTAAATTAGTTCATGACAGTTTTGAATATTTAACCCTTAACAAAATTCAGGTTTCTGAGACACTGATTAATTAAAATAATATATATAAATCTATATATATATATATTTATAAAATATATAAATCTAATTTCATATCTATCAAATAAAAATATTAAAAATGCAATACAAAAGGCCCCATTTGTTTTTCTTTTAGATGTATATAGTTGCTTCATATACAATCAAAATAAAACTTTATTTCCAATACTCCATCATTATTTTCTCATATTATAAAATATTCAACTAGTAATAAAATCAAATATTGTTTTGTTAAATTTTGGTTTATGAAGGAAAACAAAGGTTACTTAAATTAAAATGGCTAATATTTGTTATTATACTTTATATTGCTTTTCTGCTTACATGAGGAAAAGAGAAAACTCATAGACATGATGATGAATCAAAATATATGGACAAAACTAAGGCAGGTTTATGTTTTCACGGAAGCGATACAACGGCCAAGGGTGTTCCCACCGGAAGATGGCAGTAGAGTAACGATTGTGATCCTGAGGAGAAGAAGAAACGGGAGCAGACGCCTGTTGTCAGGGGATCACATGATATGACAAAGCAGTTAGCGGCTTCTTTCCAGACGACAACAGAGACTGCGGCTATTGACTCCTCCAAGATGCTGGCCCTCATTAACAGACTGTTAGACTGGTTCCGCTCGCTTTTTTGGAAGGAAGAGATGGAGCTCACGTTAGTTGGACTTCAGTACTCGGGAAAAACTACTTTTGTCAATGTGATCGCTGTAAGTAGCCAACGTTAGCAAAGACGCATAAAGTGGGCCCAGGCTACTACCTGGGAAAGGGTGAAGGTATCTGTGACACAATGTATTAAGCCTCTTCTGATCAAAAAATAATATCGTAACATTGTTGCTTGAAAGCATTTATTAGATGTGTTAAGATGAGAAACTGTGAGAGTACGAACTTTCGCAAATCCTTCAAACAGCTGGTGTTGGAGAATGACGAAGTTCTCGGTATGACTGAGCTTACTAATACAACGGGTCATGTGACCATGCTGTCAGAGCTTTGGAGCAGCTATCGGTGTTATGCTGAAGAATGCATCCCTACCAAGACATGCATCCCCAGTCGCGGGAGCGCGCCTCGCTTTGTATTACTGCATATCGACGAGGAAAACGGATGAAATATGACCAATGGAGCTACTTGTTGTTATATTAAATAAACCTAGGGAAAAAAAATTGGTTATTTATGTTGTTCATAACACCCGTACTTTTCTGCCAAATAACATCATTTTGTTCCCACGAGAGGAACATTTGAACGCTTTTATATCGTTAATACAACAACAAGTAACTCTATTGGTCATGTTTTAATCCGTTTTCCACGTCGATATGCAGTTGTACAGAGCAAGGCGCGCTCCCGCGACTGGGGACGCATGTCTCGGCAGGGATGCATTTTTCGGCATAACACCGGTGTGTCCACAACACCGCTCTGGGCTGAACGCTGACAGCAGGCGGTCTGTGTTGTAAATCACCGAATTACAAACAATTTGTAACCTTACGTTTTTTTGTTTGGTTTTCTTTTGTTTCTGTTGTACCTGTAGATGAAACAACCATGTATAGTTATGCATTTATTCATGTTATGTCAAGATGTTAGTTGAGTTTTTGGAAATGTTGCCTAATCACAGTTGTGGATAGTTTGGTTGTCAGACAGATTGCTTCCTGACGCTGTTGGACCTGTTTAGTAATCCTGTTATAGATTGAGGAGGGGTTAAACAATATCACTGCTCGTCAGTGACTAGTCATGTAATTTGGGGATATGTAGCATTTTAGAGCTAGCAGACAGACCTTTCTGCTAACTCACTGAAATCTTAAATTCAGTTTATCGGTTTAAGAGGAAAGTTTTATGATTTTTGTTTTCTTTCTGTAAACTAGTGTTAGAGGAAGATAAAAAGGCACCATCTGAAAAACCAGTTCCCTAATGGGCATGCCACTGATGACATCACATAAGGCAGCTGATCGGAGGGCCTTTCAGTACTCCATTTGCTGTTTTTTATAGTTTTTTTTGTTTTGTTTTGTTTTGTTTTTTGCTCCTGATGAAATTCCTAATAATTTTCTAAACCGGAGGTCTTCAACAGGGGTCCAAGGAGGTACTGCATGGAGGTCGCAAAAGTTTTGGTTGATTAGACTTTTTTTATATTCCCCCCTGTAATAATTTCCACTAATTGAAATGTCTTTATATACATATTAACATGAATTCAAAACACTGTAGTAAACAGATAAATGGAGGCAGAAGATGTCTTTGAGTCATCGATGCACACATTCAGCGACACACGGGAGCTCTTTCAAGCTGGACACCGTTTTATTCCCACTACCCTTCCCCATCAACCAGGAATCAGAATCAGAAATACTTTAATAATCCCAGGGAGAAATAACTTTCGTTATATTACTCCATCTCTAATAGAGTGACTATTGGACCGGTTTAATATAACACAATTTCATGCAATATATATAATTAGGGTGTC